CAATTTTTTGGTACTGCTTTCTGTTCTGTAATGACAACCCTCCCCTTTGTATCGTCCAGTTTTAGCTTATGATGAGTGGCGGTGATGTGTGTAAGGACATGTCTGTGGTCGTTGCTTTTCTTTCACTATTTAATTCCTTTTCCGGTTTAAGTTGATTGTGTGTGTGAAATTCCCCGTCACTTCACGTGATCCCGGATTGTGGCGATTAGGGTTAGAGGTTCCGACGGGCGAGTGCAGTCCCCCAGACCCTAGGGAGTTGTTTTCTGTTTCGTGTTATCATGTAGTTAAGTAACTTACCATTTTTGTCATTTTATGGACCTCTCAATCTTAACTTCGTTGTTCAGTTGTTTTCGTATTTTGCTTCTTGATATTGTTTTGGTTTTATTCCTTTTCTTGTCATTGTGTTTTGTCGTCACCGGCCTAGTTAGAATAGGGAGTCTGCGCGTCGGGAGTGTGTGTGTTTGCGCGGCCAGATAGTGGACAGTGCCCTTTCGATTGTCAGCCTTGCAGGAGCCAGCATTACCCACCGTGCTTTCTGATACCCCATAGTGGCATATTTATCAAAATGATTCACTTCCTTACGCCTTCACCACCTGCAGACACGGCGTTATGATCTGCCACCCGGCTACTTTCAAAACTGGAGATACCGCGATAAGATGGGGTCCAAAGAGTTTAACCGCCGGGCTGTTATTTGATTTTGGCTTCCAGGCATTCTTCCATCCGATTCCATTTGACGATCACGGATCCATTGACCTTCGACTCGGGTGACTGAGATAAGGGAATGACGGTGACCGTTTCCACTCCCAATCTCCCAGACTCGGCACTCGGCATCGCTGCACATCTAAGGAACGGGTCAGTCCTACCCCCGGCCCGGTTCGGCTATAGTGTACCCCTTAGAGTCGTCCTCAACGGTAGAACAACTTCCTGCCTCGGTAACTCCGTTGGGACCCGCCCAGCGGAAGATTCTCTACCTCCCCGAGAAAAGATGTTGTGTCTATGGTGTCGTGGTGGTCAAGGAAAGGAGGAAGTAGCGGAGCCTATGAGGAACAGGCACTTGATCCCGAGAAAGGAGGTGTGGGGCTACTGTGTGGTCCTTGGCCGATCGTATCCGCCGCGACTTGAGGCTGCAAGGAGCCAACCGGAGAGAACACAACGTTTCGTATGTGACGGTGGAGGACCGAGTCCTCCAGAGTGTTGGACTTCTGAGCTCCCCGGGTTCGTAAGACCTACACAAGGTGGGAGGCCCGAACAAGATGATACGAGAGAGGAAAGCGACCCGACGACGTACAGGAGGACAGTGCCCGTCGCAGCGGCTGACGATGGACCTCGGCAGCAACTGACGATGGGCTGGGGTCAGTTCTGAGAGGACGGCTCCGTAGAAAGGTTGTTCTGGTAGATTATCCTTTAGATGACCGTTTTCGACCCAAGGGCCGGTTGCTAGTTTTTTTCCCCCTAAACTGGGACGACCAAACTACACCTCATCTAATTCGATATTGTCTGGACACCTCTATAAGACGGTAGCCGAGAACGACAAGTTACCAGTCCAAACTCTTCCAACGTCTCAAGAGAAATTTTGCAAGTGTAACAGGTAAATGGAACACCTACCATCCCCCACGCAGACCTGACAATTACGGCATCTCCTAGTGTGTAACCGACTACTGAAACGAGTTGTGGTATGAACATCATTGGTGAGAATTTTTGTTGTGGAGTGGTGACATCGTCGAGCGACCAGTGCTCATCCCTACTGGACCCATGTAAATCGTCTTGTGTAGTCAGTATTATTGGTTTGAACAAGAGAGGGTAAGATCGCCGAGATTCTTTCTTAGATTATCTGTCATAAAGCAATCCAGAACTCCAGATCGTTTACCGGTAGCCCCCGAAACTGGACCCCGACACGTAAATCGTGTTGCGTAGCGAGTGTGTCAACTGTGGTCAGAACTAACAAGCAGAGTATGGACCGTTCATCGTGAGATACAGCCTAGTCGGAGTCATCACGCGGCAGCTATGGAACTACGGTACACCACACGTCCGCGCCTCTCCGTGCTGGAAGGAGGGGTTGTGTAGCCTTCTGGTCGACCAGGTTGTACGGAGTGGGGGTAGTCCGGCGACATTACAGGAATTATGTTTGCCAGACAAGTAGTAACGTCGCCAGGGTGCAGCCGCGTTGTTGGGTTTCCCGGTCCCCCTTCTGAGTAGAAAAGGTAGGGCGGACCTTAGGCGACGACTAGGAGGTCTTTCCTTCGCTGCACACGTATCCACCCCAGTGTGGAGACGTGCACGGTGGTCTCAGTCGTCAACTGGAAGGTCCTGTGACCGTCTCTATCGACCTGAACCGGGACGCTCGGTCCCGTAAGTTCGACGAACAGCGTGTCTGAAAAGTTTGGACCTAGACAGGCTGGATTCGGTGATACAGTAAACTCCCGTACGGACCTGTTTTCCGTAGTCGCGGAAACCAACCACCGCAGGACCCGCATGGAGCGTGCACTAGGTTTTGGCGGTTGGAGTCGATGGGTCGCTACGGACACCGGGGGTTAAAACGTCAGGATTTACCGACTCCCCCAATTATAGTCAGGTTTGATGCGTAAATAACTGGGTCGGTCGTCACCGCCAGATGCCCACCGGCCCCACCGGTCGACGGTGGGTCTTTTACGGTAACGGTGGGGTCGACCGGTGGGTAAACCGTGTAAACAAAACTTTCTTTTCACACCGAGGTAGCCTTGTAAAATACTCTCTTTTAGGATTACAGGCTCAACGTTACTTACGTCGTGGTTCTGGCGTCTCGGAACATTGGGGAGGGGGGGGAACGCGCTCGACCTTTTATTCAAACCGCCGCTAAAGTAAACTGCCCTCCGTCGCGTTTGCTCTTCGTAAAGCCTATGTTCATCTCGTCTTACTTACCCATAAAACGCCAGGTCCCATACCGACCCCATCCGATGTCGGTATGGTTATTTACCGAATCGGGTGTACTTTTACTACATTTCATCGTTTTATTTCAGACGTTGAGCGCGCCTCATTTAACGTGTCTGTCGTCAAAGTCTTCTATTCTAGTCTCGGTGAACAGACGCTTTATGACTTCTGATCTTGCCACAACTTTTGGAACAGTGCATCATAGCAGAAGAGTTATCTTGTAGAACTATTTACAGCGAAGACCGGGTTAGGTCTTAGTGCTTTGCCGCACCAAACAACTCCTTAGGGGCTGTCCTCTTTGGAAAACGACATCATTTTGTAGAGCTATATGTACCATGTTGATATTTGGGTGCCAAAGCCTACTAACCTTATCACTACACCCGACAGAAAGTAAAACTGGGTGTCTTGTTATCCCCCCGTAGGTGGGAATAGGTGTTCATTTCATTAAGTTGTGTCGGAAGGAGAGGAGAGACACTCCTCGTCGTCCAAGTCTTAAAGTCTTGTTTCATTTGTTTTTTGATTTACTTTAAGGTACAAAAAATTTATGCAAGCACATCCATTTATCTTATGAAATAAATAAAAGAGATTTCTCGTGTGTCTTACACAAAACTACATCATAAAGGTTTTTTAGAGGACCCCTCTTAGGGGACGGTCTGGGGCGTACGTCCAACAACAGTTGAGATAGTGGACACCCTTTAATGTCCTACCGAGGTCCAGCGGGAAAAATAAATGATGTTCTGTTTACACGGAAATAAAGTATGTCAGTAGACCTAACTCTGTCCTTATTTATTTGAGTGCGCCCGCAACAGTGCAGTTTCCCTCGGACATACATTGGAATGTAACGTTTATGACTGAACTCGGGTGGTGACATCCCGCTCGGGGATGGTATTATAATGGGTTGTGCTTTATGAGACCGCGGCGTTGACACGCCAGGATGATACGTTCGTTTCTGCGGACAGTTTCAACCGACATGAGTCGTAACTTAGTTTTGGCGGTGGTAATCATAATTTTAGTATTATCAAACACACCTAAAACGGACAAGTTCTGACCATTAGCGGTGGTAAGTGGACAATATTGCGTACGGTTGAACTACGGACGAGTGTCCTCTCAGTACTTATATTTGACAATTGTACCTGTACTGGAATGTACACCATTTATATAAAAGAAGAAAACACCCCAGACGGGGTTTTTTTGTCAAGTTCAGACTCTTTCAGTTCTATTCTGCCACACATTTTGAAGTTGCGTCGGTTTTTTTGTTGGTGAACTAATTGATCGCGGGTCATTTTCCTCCCCCCCCCCCCCCCCCGCCTGCCCGTAAGGTGACCTATTATTACGTCGCTCACATTAGCAAAATCGATTATGTGTCAAAAAAGAATGTGGGATTGCTACGTCAATTAGTAAGAAATTACAAACAAGAAAAGACTATTTAGTTTCCAACATTGACAAACTTACTTAACACCCCGCGACTTGACAAGGAAACTAAGGAACTTAATACTACATATGACCCAGAAAGTTTAAACTTTCTCCCACTCGTTTGTAGACTCCTTGCAAGTAGTATTGGGGAGGTTTTGTATATCAATACTTATGTATTGTGACTTTCTACACTTAGTATTGTCACAATGTCGCTATCCTTATTATGACTTAACAATTATATTGTATAAGTATGTCGTGTGTACTATCTGTCAATTAATTTACATAATAACGTCGTAGACGTATAACCCATGGGGACGGACAGATTTCTCAATTTGGAGTTGAGTAAGTCAATTTTCAGTATTTAATTGCACCGGTGGAAATAGTAAATTATAAGATTCGAAATGACTACACGGTGTTGTTAGAGGTGGAATACATAACTCATTTTAGTAGTTATAACACCGTAAACAAAAAAAAAAAAAAAAAGAAAAAAAAAAAAAAAAACAAAAAAAAAAACAAAAAAAAATAAAAAAAAACGACCGAATAGGTTCATTGTAACTAACCTATACTGAACGCTAATTTTGTGTTTTATGAGAGACGGTCGCTACGCGTTCGGGGGTTTAAGAGGGGACGGTGGGGAGAACGGTGGGGGTACTTATGTGAACAGATTCTAGGGCGCGGGGACGGTGTCGTTCCAGAGGTGCCTTGAAAACACAGGTCCGGGTGCGAAGTACGGGGTTGTTTGAGGTTTAAAGTTCTGTCTCAAAACAGAGGTCGACCACAGTGCGACCGCGACCGCATACGTTTACCCCAAACTTCGGAAGGGGACGGACCGAGGACCCTTAGTTCTGTTTCGGGTTAAGGGCGTAGACCGACCCGAGGGTTCGGATTTACTTATTTGACAAATTTCAGTCATGTATCCCTCATGTCCACTCCTATGGTCGTGAACGGAAGACTCCCAGAGTTGTCGGCAAAAGTGTGGAATCGCAGGTCGAGACGTAGTGGAGTCTAGTTGTAGGCGCGACGTGCCTTGAGAAGAAGGAGAGGGAAAGTCGCGAGGCGGTGATTGAAAACCTCTCCACCGTCCGCGTTGTGAACTGTTTGGGGGAGTGTTTCGGCGTGATTATTACTCGGGCCCGTTTGTGGCTGCCTTTTCCTGGCAATCGGACCTGTGGGTCTATTTGGACCAAGGGCCTCCGGTCAGTGCGGGTTGGGCGGTGCGTTTAGAACCCAGCCTTTGGTGGTTGGCGACGTCTTTATTGTACAGGGTTGCAGACGTGGGAGAACACCTTGCTTACCGTAAAGAGGGCAGAGGCGTCGAACGGAAGGTTGGGAGAACAAATTGCAGGGTTCTGCGTCAAGGTCAGCGAACTCCACG